GGATGAGAGGGAGATCTGTGGTTGGTATGTAAAATAAATAAAAAAAGAAAAAGACAATGTGTGAGTTCAGGCCCTGGCAGAGAGACATGAGGATAATAAAGAAAAGAATCCTGGGTGTCCTGAACGTTTACTCTGATGTGACTGTGTGGTGTAGAAATGGGGTTCTTAAGCATGGAGCATTAAACTCCACTTCTCTATCTCCGTCATAATATGCACATTTTAGATTCACTATGTGGGCAAACCTCAGGCTCTTTGGGGATTTTTCCCTGCTGAATTATTCTTATGAGGCTGCATAGTTGTGTGGATGACTCTGCTTATGTGCTCTGCCTTCTAATTGCCCACTTTCAAAGTGTGGATCTCATCAGGGAGTTGTCCACAGAGGTAATTGGTTTCATTGGTCCTGCTTAGAAAGAACACGAGGTTTCCTGATCTCCTCCCTCACAGTCCTGCAGCCAGTAGCTCTCACAGGCTGGTTCACTTTAGAGCTGTGGTTCAGATCCAGGCTGTGCTGCCCATTAACTAGCAAACACGCAGTTGCAACGTGCTTGCTTGCCTTTCCTCATCTGCAAAGTGGGCGTGGTAATAATAGCGTCCATTTTACTGGGCTGGTGGCAAGATGATGAGATGAATGGCTATTTTTAACAGAGCTCAGCACAGTGGGAGCCATGTGTGTGCTCAGCCACATTCTGGTGTCAAGTAAACTGGGGATAATGGGGGTGGCAATAGAGGGTAAGGGATCATCGGGGATGGGATGGTCGAGCTGGGGGAGGGATGGAGTGAGAGAGCAATGAAAGAGATATCTTCATAGAGGGAGACATTATGGGGTAAAGGAAAAACCCGGTGCTAGGGAAATTCCCAGAAATTCCCAGTTTACTGTGTCTAAACAGTCCTAAGGAACACCAGCCTATTTCACTTGCAACCATGTGAGAAGCTTTACTGTCAACCCTGTCCTAGACAGCAGGGTGTTCACCAAGTTCCTGGAGTCCTGTCCCCATGTCCAGACCTCACATTGCAGGGGCACTAGAGGGGGACTTTCTCAGGCCTGAGCACTGTGTGCCTGCTGGTGCCTCGTGGGTGGCCCTTTTTAACATGTTCAGACCAGTTACTGAGCCTTCTGCTGTGAGTTCTCAGGAAACTGACAAATCCGATGCTCTATTGTGATGGGCTTGTCCATTTTTCAGGGACCATCAGCATTACTTTCTGGAATACTCAGCCTTTCATCATATCTCCTTTTCCTTTCCAAGTAAGCATGACTTTGGGAGTTGAGTTAGACTTTTAAATTTTAAGGTAGCAATGTACCATGTGCTACAAATCGCCTTTCTTCCTAAAATAGAACCAAATCCCATTTTTTTCCCTTACATCTTAAAATCCCTTGACATGAATTCGAGCATTGCCAGCTGGGCAGTGGTGGTGCACACTTTTAATCCCAGCACTCGGGAGGCAGAGCCCGGTGGATCTCTGTGAGTTTGAGGCCAGCCTGGTCTGTAGAGCAAGATCCAGGACAGGCACCAAAAGTACACAGAGAAACCCTGTCTCAAAAAACCAAAATAAATAAATAAATATTAAAAAAATTCCAGCATTGCCTTCTTTGACAGTATAGGACAAGTACTTCATTCGCTCACTCAACACCTCATTCACCAACCTCCTACAACGCATTAGACATTGCTCTAGAAGCTGGAGATGCAGTTAGATGTATAGGAGGCTCTCAAAAGGCCTTTCCAAACTATACTTAACTAAACATTACTCATTTTGTATTTACTGTTTGTATTTAATACCCTTTGATGGGAGGGAAAGGGGGGCACAAAATAGAAGGGGGAGAAGATAATGGGCATCACCATCACTAAAGCCATCACCAGGTTCTGCTCTCTTAGTTCATAAGTATCCTTCCCCTAGCTCCCTTCACCTGTCCATTGCAGGGGACACTGAGGATATCAGGATCAGTGGAGTGGAGTCCTAACTTTTTATGTGCATAGGTGTTTTGCCTGTATGTCTGTGTGCCACATGCACGCCTGGTATCCTTGGAGGCCAGAAGACGGCATTAGATCCCCTGGAGCTGGTGTTACAGTGAGTGTTGGGAAATTGAACCAGGGTCCTTTGGGAGAGCAGACAGTGCTCTTAACTACTGAGTCACCTCTCTAGAATCCTGACTCTTACCTAGAGTATCCACCAATGCCCTGCTAGATGAAGATGACTAGCTGCACCTCCAGAATCACAATTTTGAAAATGCATGTATGACAATCAAGCTTGAACCCATGTGTGTTGAAGCTTACTTACTCTAGGTAGGAGACTCTGTTTGTCTCTCTTCTAATTGGTTATTCTCTAGGAATTTACAAAGTGGAACACTGAGACATAGGCTCACAAACATGCCTTTCAGGCTTATTTGCTCTTTCAGATACAAGCAGTTCTAAGCAGGGATTCAGTTACCAGGTTCTGTATGAGAGGAAAGAGATGTAAGTACTTATGTCAACTGTACTGACTTACAGAGTTCAGTGCCTCCCGCAGGTGCCCAGGAGGGCTCCCCTGGCACAGTGGAGGCCTCAAGGTTGGGAGGTGACAGGAGGTGAAGGGATGGTGCAAACTCTTTGAAATTCCTCAGCTCAGATGTGCTCGATGCTTGGAACAGAGCTGAGAATCAGAGCAGGAATGAGAGACTAGAAACGCCTCTGCTTGTTAATATGTGTCTTTTCCACGGCAGCTTTGAAGAGGAGGCTGCCGTACACACTACTTTACTCCAATTCAGTGAGTTTTACAAGACCACAGGGGGACTTGCTCCCATTTGAACAAGCTGAAAATGTCTTAGAGCTGACAGAATAATGAGTATTTTTTCTTTGTTTAATATTTTTGATCCAGAACGAGAATGGTGGTTTCTGTCACTTCTATCTTTTGCTTTGTTTTTTAGCTTTGTTATTTTGGCTTACTAGAAGGTTCAATTTCTTATATAAATAATGAAGCCAAATAAGAGCTGTTATTTAAAATTATTATGAATAAATTTCCCAAATCATGCATTGTGGGTATTTGATTTTCAGGTTTACTAGTTAACTTTAAACTGATGTGTTTTTTTTTAAGTTAAATTACATTTGTTATTTTATTATTTAATTGTGTGTGTGTGTGTATGTGTGTGTGTGTGTGTGTGTGTGTGTGTGTGTGTGTGTGTAGATACCCATGTGGCACCATGTACGTGTAGAAGGCAGAGGACAGCCAGCAACATCTGATTCTCTCCTTCCACCATGTGGGTCCTGGGGATCAAACTCAGTATGTCAGGCTTGGCAGCAAATACCTTTCCCAGCTGAGCATCTCACTGACCCCTGACTGACGGTTTTAACAGAATCTCTTGCTTTTCTACTTTTTTTCTAGTTGTTTTTTATCGTCTTGGTTTGTGAGTGGAGTCTGGCCTTCTGTGACTGGACAGTAAGCTGTAGGTGTGGGAGAATTTGAGGTGTATGTGGGGACAGGTGAGGGTGTATGTGGGGGATGGGGGGGGCGTGAGGGTTTTCATGAACGTATTTGCTACCATTGTTTACAGTGCTACAATTTATTCATTTCCTAGCATGTGTCTATGAGTCTGGGCCTCAGAGATCATAGATGACTTGCCTAAGGCCAGCCAGCTGTTGTAGAAACCCAGCTCTGCTTCTGGATCCTGTTCATGTTTCAAAACATATCTTTCCTCCGTCTTTAGGACTTTAGATCAGACACTCTTCTTACTCACAGTCTGCCTCCAAGGTGGTACTGATTACGGTGATAGAACAGTAGCGCAGTTGTGGACTGGATCCTTCCACCATGCCCCTTCTACCTGGTTTGTGTGTTGAAATACTAACTTCCAGTGATGTGATATTAGGAGGCGGGGCCTTTGGGAGTCACTGTGTGGGTGGAGCCCTGAGGCGTGGGATTGTGGGTTTTATGAAACGTGCCCCAGAGAGCTCTTCCCTGCCTTCGTTCTTTCCAGTGAAGCTCCATGGAGAATCCGAAGCCTGCGCCAGGAAGGGGGTCCTCAGCTGGGCCTGGCATGCTAGCACTCCATTCTCAGATGCCGCAGACCCCAGGGCTGGATGAAATACATTATTGTAGCTTATAAGGCACCCGGTCTAGTACTCTATGGTAGCATCCCTAGCCGACTCAATGTGCTTCCCTCCCCCCCATATTCTTCACACTAAATCCCATGCCTCACATCATTTCTACAGGATCAGGGTGATTAACACATTTCACAGATAAGGACATAGAAGTTGTTAGGATCTATTTTTCAGACTCTAGCAAGCTCTCTATGTTCCTGCATGCCAGAGCACATGTACACACTTGCCTGGCAATGGGACTCGTGCCTGTCTAAGAGCAGCAGGCCAGAAGACGTCTAGACAAGACTGCCCTGGCCAGCTATCCCCAGGAGCCCCCTGTGAGGTCTTGCCTGTCCTCTCAGTTCCTGCTGCTGTGTGCTGCCTCTGTGGTTTGCCAGGGAAGCAGAGACCTACTGGAGCTCCGCTGGCAGCCTCCTGCTCTGTGTTGCTTCCCTGGCTCTCAGGACAGGGCTTCATGTGGGCCTACCTTTCCACTGGTTCCTTTCTCTTTGGTTTTCATGGCTTGGTGCATACATCAGCGGCTTGCAGCCTCCTTGTGCTGTGTAACACTCCGCAGACATGGTGAGGGGAATTTTGAGAAAAAGGAAATTATGATTGTCCCATCAAAATCTCTAGATGAAGCTGGATGATGGTGGTGCACTTCTTTAATCCCAGCACTATGGGAGGCAGAGGCAGGCGGATCTCTGTGAGTTCAGGGTCAGCCTGGTCTACAGAGTGAGTTCCAGGACAGCCAGGGTTACACAGAGAAGCCCTGTCTCAAAAAACCAACCAACCAACCAACCAACTAAACAAACCAAAAACCTATAGATGATTCATGAAACTACATGTACTATGTTTTATATTATATGTACATAAACTTTCATTTATAAGTTAGATACAGTTAGAGAGTAACAGTAATAAAATGGGACAATTATAAGACAATGCACATAAAACTCATCTGAAACACGTGAACTATTTATTTTTTGAATTTCCCACTTAATATTCAGGACCATTGTTGACCGTGGGTAGCTGAATCCATAGGTAGAGAAACAGGTTAAGCAGGAGCCTCTGTGTTTTAGAGACTGGGACTCTGATCTCCCTGGCTGTGTAGTAAGAGTTATCTTTCCTCCTCATTTTTCACTTCCTCCTCTCAGAACAGAGCTTGAACTGGTGGTTGCTAGGTTTCTCCTGGATGTGAACATGCTGAGGCTCCACGCAGCTCACACAATGCTGTGGGCTCCCCTCCCCAGCTTCTGGGAAAGAAAGATTCTTTGGTTGCTTAGAACACCCCCCCCCCGCCCCCCGGCGACTCAGGCTAGCTGGGACTCACACAGACACTTTATTTTTATTTTCTAATAGGGTAGAAAGGTTTACCGTTCTTCAAATTTTGACAAACTGAAGGGACCCTGGACTTCTCCAGGTTGCCACCTGTACTTAGCTTGGGACACAGCAGAAGTGTCGTGTGCCAGCGCCCACGGCAAAACTAGATGAGAAGCATTCCCAATCCCTCAAGCTCAGACTCGGTTAGGAGGAAAGAAAAGATGGGAGATAGGCTCAACTCTATGGGGAAATTTATTATCACTTTTTTTTGGTAAAAGCTCTGAAGAACAGAGTTCTTTTTTCATTTAGAATTCAGTGAAAAGACTGAACAATAAATCCTTTGGGTGTTACACACCTGTGAGTTTGACACCACCGCTCCACATATAATGCCCACAATATCTCCTCGAGGTTGCAATCTTGATTTGGATTTTTGTCATTCACTCTCTAGTCTCTGTTTTCTATTTTTCTTTTTCTTCTGAAAGAGAGGAGGTAAACCTTATTTCTCTTTCAAGCTTTTTGCCTTGTAGCGTTTTACAGTTTTCTGTTGTGAATCAGAAGTTCAACAATTTATCTCTTTCCAGCTCTTTCCTGGGATCGGCTAAGTCCCAGCTGGCCCCAACCAGGACTACTGAACAAGGGCCAAAGTCAATGTTCAGCTGCACCGGTAGGGGGCGCCTACCAGTGGGGTCTTGTGCGTCAGTCCAATCAACTGGGGCGTAGCCCCCTTTCCTTCACTTACCACTTGCTACTGAAGAAATTCAAAGATCAGAGAGATGTTGAAGGAGATACTGGGGCTTACCTTCCCTCTCTCACTGGAGGTCAGAATTTCAACATACAAACCGGAGAGAAGAGAGACAGTGGAAACACCCAGTTCGTAACAATGCTACTGTTCTGACGCCACGATCAACATCACCTTAGTGGCAGAAGATGAGTTAGAACTTAGTGAGCTCTCTACTCCCTGCACAGGGAAACCTCAAGGGGGAATGTTTTTGAAGGACTAGGAGTTAGATAGATTCCCGGCGGGCGGACAGATGGGCAGAGGGGCCATGACTAGATAAAAAGGATGGTTCCAGAGATGGCTAGCTTCTTCCTCAGCTCCCCAACAGGAGACAAAGGCTGGCAGGCTTTTTCTTCTGTCAGGAAGGTCCCCTTGCTTGTGGACCAGTCTGCTTTGCAAGTTCAAGGCCAGACCAGGACTTGTTTACCCCCCACCCCCAATGGTGGATGCGTCATTTCCTGTCTTTGTTCAAACTGACCAACCCTAAGTTGAGGGATGAAGTCCACTCAATGGCCTTTAGACCCCCCAGTCCTCAAGTAGAGATTGGGTTGTGGCTCCCTCGGGCCCCTCTCTGCTCTTCAGAGGGTCTCTCTCTCTCTCTGTGTGCTTAGCATGTGCTGTGTGTGTGTTTCTTTGCCCCAGTAAATGCCTTTTATTTGAAAACCAGTTGCTTCTGTGTGCTGTGTCCAAGATTTCTCCCACTACCACCTGCTGCACTCCAGACCACACCCCCTGCCCACTAGTGGAGAAAAAGACCCCAGGTGGTAGTGCCTTCTTCCATCATCTGTTGTTTTGTTTTGCCTTCTGCTAAAGATAGAACAAGCTGCTTTCTGTGAGGTTCACATATACTGTGCAGTGCTGAGGGTATTTGCATTATCCACATGCACCAGAGCCTAGCGAGGTGCTCAGGGCAGGGAAAGGAAGTGGGCAACATTCTTGGGAAGACTTGAGAGGGTGAGTATTTCTTATTTGTTTGTTTGTTTGTTTATTCATTTATTTATTTAGCCAGTCAGGCTTTGAAGTTGCAGCCCCCCTGCCTCAGCCCCCAGAGCAGTCGGAATTACAGGTCTGTGCTACTATTCCCATTTGGGATAATCATATTTTGCCTTCTAATTTCTAACATATTGATGCCTTTCACAGTATTAGAATATCTTAAATTTCCTGTCTTGAAATAACTTGGGATTCCAGACATGTGCATTACCTGTGACTGATGGCTTCCTGGGTCCCACAACACATTGCTGCGTAGTTTATGGATGACTCTGTACTTCAGTGTGGGAAGCATGGGCATAATATTTTTAATAGGTATTTTATATACATGTATAAGCAGGTATATGGCAAGAATCAGGTACTTTAAAGAGGGAAGATAAAATTCTTAAAGACAACGGTGGTTTGAGTTGCCTCAAAGTCAGGACAAAACAGGAAATCTCAAATAAGCATTTAAATAAATCAAGATGGGGTGGGGCAAGTAATCATCTCTCTCATTGAAATAGGATTAAGGCAAAACACTGACGAGTCTGTCAGTATCGACCAATTAGCGTTTATAAATGCTGACTTTGAATATCTGTTGAGTCCTGATAGGGTTTTATGTGAAATGGTCCCCATTTGGCTAGTGTGATTTAACACCCGCCCCTCCAGCTGCTGGTGCGGTCTTAGAGACTGTGAAGCCTTTGTGATGTGGGACCTACCTGGTGAAGCTATGTCATTAAAGGTGGGCCTTCTGGTTCCGACCTCTGTGTTCTGCTTCTTGCTCCAGGCCCAGTGTGAGGCTCTTTACCATGCGTGCCCACCACCTTGCCCTCCCCGTGGTGATGAACTGAAATCCTTCTGGAATTATGAGTCAGCTCGTTGTCTTTCCCTGCCAAGTTTCTCTGCTGGGGGGCGTCTCCAGAGCTATAACCAAAGTAGCTAATGCTTGCTTCACTGGGTGCATTTTCTTGTAAAAGGCTGCCCTTCTCACTTCCGTATTTCAGGTATGTTCTAGTGGTTTCCACACTTTCTTGCACATGAGAATCACCGGCGGGGGCGGGAGGGGTGGGGAGTGCAGCTTTAAAATAAATCAAACATCCAGGGTACAGCTGATATCAACTGAAATCTCTAGCGGGGAGGGGTCTGAAGCAGCCTCCACATTGTTTTGTAAAGCTCTGTAGGTGATTCTAGTGTGCAGCCAAGTTTGAGAAAACAGTGTTATAGGCCAGTGGTTTTTAAACTTGAGCTGTGAGTCGGAATCACCGGGAGAGCTTGTAAAAACACAGAGCCGGGGCTCCACTGCCATGATGCCCCGAGTTACGTGGCTTAAGAAGGAGATCAAGAATTTGTATTTCTGACATGTTTCCAGTTGATACCACTGGTCTAGGGGTTACAGAATTTCAGGTATGCTGCTGATACTATCAAGATGGATGGGATGGAACGGGAAGATTCAGTCATGAAAGACACATTTGCATCAGTTTGGAAAACTCAGGTGATATACAAAGGGCTTGAAAAAATACCTACAGGCCTGTTCTTTTGTTACTGTTAACTATTTCAAAGTGACTGAAAATGCATTTTGTTTCAGGTAGGTCTAGCCCAGGTCTTGAATTCTCAGCCACGGTGGTGGGTTCCCTGTAGGTTGAAGGGGGTGTTGTAAATGCAAATGAAGGGGAGCTGCCTCGGTCCACTGCTTCTTACTCAACACAGGTGTGGGCTGCTGCTCCATCACTTCCCCAGTGGTCCCTGTAGGTGCGGGCGAGGAAGTTGTAGGGCTATGGTGAGCGTCGGCCCTTTAGGGAGACCGCAGCTTTTGCTTTATTGAGTTTCTACCAGTTCCCAGCTTGGGCCACTTCTTGTTTTGGCTTAGTGCAGTTATTTTTTTTTTTCTCTTCTATTATAAATATTATCTGCGCCGCTCGCTCTCTTAGCTCTCCCAGTCCCATTTAAGTGTCATTAGGTTTCCCATTAGCAGCTACTGTGGATGGTTTCCTGCAGAGGCCTCAGCGTGAGTCTCCTGGTTCTGAATTTGATCTGGGGGAGAACAAGAGAAAAGGAAGAAGTGTGGACTCCACTAATGTCTGCCTCTCAACTTGAAAACAGAAACATTCATCTGAAAGCCACGTCAGCCTTCTCTAGCCGAGCAGGCAGCAGGTGAAACAATTTGAGCCTCGATTCCCACAGCCCCCAAACAGCAACTCCCATTTAATTTCTCTGCCGCTTTTTACATTTTTAAAATAAAAAAAAAACAAACAAAACATCCAGCTGTTCGAGTCATTTTGCGCATCCCCTGCCTTCTGCTGGATGCTGGTATTTGACGGCTTTTACTCATCTTTCTGCCTGGAACTCTGATTAGTTAAGCGGCCTCAGGTGTCAAGTGCAAGATGACCCACAGGCAAGGTTAAGTGAGTCCCAGAGACAAGAGCACCTTTCTTTTACTCAAGGTTAGCCCTTTTTAGACAAATGACCACCTTTTGGACGAAATCCCTTACCATGTGTTATTAATTAAACATGATACTTAACAACACATATAATCAGTAAAATTTAAGGAAACAGGAACTCTAAAAACAGAGCTCTTGCTAATCCACCTTTTATACTGACTAATGCTTGTCCATTAGAAAAACCTGCATTTTTCAGAGCCATGGCTCAGTCAGCTTGAAGATTCAGGTTCAGATTCCCAGCATCCATGTTAAAAGCTGTGCACAGCAGCGTGTACTTGTATCCCAGCGCTGGGGAGGTGGAGGCAGGAGGACTATGCATCTCACAGACCAGCCAGCCTAGCCAAATCAATGAGGATGAGCTCCAGGTTTAGTGAGAAAAAAAAGGAGAGGTTAAGAAAGACAGAGACGTTGACTTCCGGCTTCGTCATGCATATGCACTCATATATGCTCATATACACACCATATATACAATATGCGTATGTATGTATGTATATGTATGCACGTGTATTTGAATAAATGATGCTATCATTTAGAAGTTCCTTTCAATCCACACACATTAGTGGGCTGCAGTTATTCTCGGTCCTTCTTTACCAAGAAAATTATCAGGCTTAACCTGTCCTCAATTACCTAAATGATGTCCTCTTCTAGAAGTTTTAAGTGGCCTTTCCTGAGATGCCCACCTCTCGTCTCTTGCCTGTTGGAGGAAAAGGAAAAAAGAGCCTAATTACACCAGTAGCTCGGAGTCACCATGATTGTGCTTTTCTGATTAGGAGAAAATTTGCTTTCTCTGACTGCTGCTTAGATTTAGCTCCCTGCCCTTTCCAGCCGAAGAAGAGAGTCCTAATTTACACTGAATACATACGTTAAGTCATTACCACTAAATGTTACCGTGTCTTGTCGAGGAGCTCCTGGAACTCTGTTATCTGGCCTATCTTAGCCTCGTTCTCTGGGGCTTCAGTGAAGTTTCAGTTTGTGTGGATCAAAGCCAATCCTACATACGGCTTCAGGTAGAAATGAGGGTGGGTTTTTCCCCCCAGGAGGGGAGCATGTTTTCGAGCCTCTGGGTCCTATCTATGTTGGGCTGAATGGAGGAGATCCTGGGAAGTGTCTGCACTTTGACAATAAGATGCTTCTGAACAGTACAAGACACAGCCATAGTCAAAATGTGCTTTGGCTTGGCAAGTTGCTCCCGTGCTCAGGAAATTGATCCTAAAAGCCCAATGGGAAACAAAATAAAACAAAATCAACGCAACAGAAGTTCTTAAAACTGGTCTCTATTTGCCAAGCTCACAAGAATTACAGGGATTCTTTTTTCCTCTGTTTATACATGGGGCAGTGTCTGGGGTTGAGAGTACATGTGGTACGTCCTGCCCACAGGTGGCCTTTCTACTCAAGAGTCCATTGCCTTTAACTCACGCTGTTAATGTCAACTGCATGGATTATCATAATTACATACACTTGTTAACCATTATATAAATGGATGGGATATTAAAGCAGCCTAAAGCCTCCTTGGAAATATTTGGTTAACAGGTGGCTAAAAACTTGTAAATTAGAGATGGGCAGAGCATCTGCAAAAACTTTAAGAAAATGTAAGTCTGGCAGACTTCCCAATTTCAGTTGTTTGTTTTTTTTCCTCTGTGGAACTAAGACACTGCATTGGAGATATGTTTGAGACATGAAAGGTGAAAAAGGAAATCCATCAACAAGCTCCTGGTGGAAGAAACAGTCTCAACTCCACATTAACGCGTTGATGTAGAAGTGGATTTGCAGGTGTAAGTGCACATAAAATGTTAAGACTTCCAGCCCCTATTGCACTCAATAGTGATGCAGTCCACACGTGAGCTGGGTGTGCCTGCTCTTTGTGAATCTCCCCGGGTTGGGGGTGGGTCATATGTTCACGGTCCCCTCTGGTGTAAATAGATTACCATATGTGTGACTTGGTGTTTCTTCTTTGTTCCCGATCTCTCAGCATGAATTGTGAAGCTCAGGTTTCCTTTGTTTCCTCGTTTAAAAGTGTCTGAAGCAAAGCATTTGCACATGTAGTGCACTTGACTGGAGTGGGGCGGAGGAAGGGCAGGAGAAGGGTTTTACATGGTAGGAACCAAACCTTTTGTCACTTGATACCCAGATACCCACGCTCTTTAAAGGCTTTGGCACTCTGCTACGGGAAGAAGACGTGGCCGTGAATCTCACACAGTGCCAGGGTTACACACCATCTGCCTACTTTCTTCTAATTCCACTCATTTTTCTTCTCCCTGTCTGTCCTTTGTCTCTCCCTCATTTCTGTTTATGCCAGAAGCAGAGAATTTCATGTAACTCTCTGCTACCTCACTTCCTGTGAACTCTTGCATTTGGGTAGGTCTTCCTTCCTTCCTTTGTTGATTTTTAGGGAGCAGCCCAGATGTGAGGAATGTGGATGAATGTGTGCATCGTGTACACACACTCACACATACACAATCCACTCACACATACACAATCAATAGCTTGATCACATCGTAAGTACTAGAACATCCTTGAAAGCAAAAGTGGACAATGTCAATAATATTTCTCGGCCATAAGGCAAAAATATGATTGTCCTAGGTAAACCAGAACTTCCTATTTATCAAGTTTTTTTTTTT